GTGATGAGGCTCATACGGGAAATTACCCTCTGCCTCTAACTGAAGAACATTGAACATTGATCGGTTATTGTTGTTAATAATCAATCGCGCTTCAAACGAACCCGATTTCACAAAGTAATATGACAGCTTTGTTCTTATTTGTTAAGGTTATAAGATCGATATTTCTTTTTCGCTTGGCTTTAACATCATTTCCTATCAATCATTATTCTTTGGAGAGAAAGATTTTGGAAGTAAAAGTTTAGTAAACATCATTGCGCAGCCTAATAGAGGTTCCACTTGAACTGCTGAAATGCGATCTCAGTTTCACGAGAAAGAGGTGCCTATCCAAAGGACCGAATTCGATAGTTTTGTAAAAAGGAAAACTATAAAAAAATTGTTACGATTTCAAATTTTACTTTAACGAACAACTAGATACCTAGCAGATAACTTGGAACTATTTCTCCTCTAATGCGAAAAATCCTTTTATTGTTTAGAACCATGAACTGCACATATTTAAACAAGACTAGCAGTTTTCATTGGTCGACATTACTTTCACCGTCAAGAAAACATTGTGTTCTCGAGCGAAAAGACCGCTTGAAGGAATTTTAGAAAACTTTTAATTCATTACGAGGCAGAAGACAAACAGAACGACTCACTGAACTACAGATGATCCCTGTTTTCAGCAAACTAACGATATACAATGACTACTGCATCCGAAGTTACTGAATCACTTTAAACTTAGGTCCAATAAACCAAATATTTTCCATAACTGTCTCACATGTATTTGCGTGAAATTATTCTGTTGTTCATCCATGAACGTGTAGAACTTTCTCCGATCATGTTCATCCCCTGGTTTGTAGAAAAACTGACCATAAATAATCAGTGAGCATAAACCGATTCAAGAAACCCCTTTACAGATGTAATCGGTAAACACTTTTCGAACACACCCTATCATGGAAAAGAAAATTCGTTCAAAGATGAATAAATAAATGATGGGGATACGCACATACCGATAGCAAATCCGAGTCCAAACATTGGCACAATCAAGTGTTCCATGATAGTGGAGAAAGGAATCTGTTTTGCAGAACAGAAAAACGTTTGTCTTATTTTCACTGCACTAAAATTCACTTAATGTCTGACAAGAATGTATGCAAATAAACAACCTTGCTATATGCATATAACAAAACACAGAACGTATCGAATGCATTCGGAGTATGCTGATGGACCATAGGCAAAATATATACTACTGTATCCCCCATTACCCATAAATCTTTCTCGTGCCAATTTAAAGAGCGTTCAAGTTGATGGACACAATTGATTTGTATCAAACCTTTGTAGTACTCAGTCAAACGCCGTTCGCAGTACATTTTTGGTGTCGTGTTTAAGTTAATCGAAATGCATTTTGCAATAATTTCGAGTCTTTCAAATAAACTAAACTTGATCACACACAAAAGACAAAATGTTGCGGAATTAAAATAAATTCCACATATAGAACCATTTACCTAAACAAATGAGAACACTATAAGAATGTATCACGAAAATGAATCACTAATCGTTTGGATTTGCATTGACAATTCTCGAAAATGATATAATGCGACAACACGTACTGATTTTTGTGGGCGGCACACACCTGATCTTCATTTGTATTCGATGCAGGGCACCGATTGCATTGTTTTAGGGAGGGTTTGTGGCTTTGCAAGATATTCCGAGCCAATATAGTACCCAGCAATAATTTGCAATGAAAATGCTCAAAACATATGAGCAAGGAGTTATTTGTTTGGAGAGTAACTAACATCACCATGAATTCCGGTGTTAGCTGGCTCTGCTCTGTTACGTAGTTGATGTCCAATCAGGTAATAGACGGTTAAATGCAAATAAACCTGATGGAATACTCCAATATGTTTCCTACTCACAACCTTCACATTTCCAATCTGTAAATTTAATTCTATAATATTACATTAACTGACACAGTGATCAAACATCAACCAGTTTTGTGCCATATAAAAAGCTTAGTGAATGGAGCTGTTTTGAAGAATAACACAATGGAGATCTAGCTTTGCTCCGCACACAGTTTAGCAAACGAAACACGTTGATATCTTCTTCGGTTTGTTTCGGCTATCAAATTCATTGAATCCATGATTATTTGAATTGATCAGGTAAAGGACAAAGTCCAGCTGCTCACAGATCATGTGAAAAGGGTGATTTCACATCTGTGCAAAACGCTCGGGGCTCACAACGTGATTAGCTTTCCGATTAAACCCTGCGGTCTTCGGGCCACCACTTGCCCCAGAATGATTTATGGTTCTCAAGAACAAAGGAACCTAGAGATGCGTTATCACTGGTGATTGTGGTTGATAGCATACGATAACTGGCTTGACACTACCTCCCCGAATACCAGGGTATGTGGAATAAGGGGCTGAACGATGTAGCTAACGCAAAGATAAACGCCACGAATAAGTCATGTTCCATGTCGTCTCATTACGAAACCATCGATAATGCGCCTCATCTCGCTCTCATACTCGGACTGAGGTCGACACTGTTTTGTAGAATGCAAAATACGTGTTTTAACACTGTCATATAGAATGTTACAGATTAGGACTTCGGATCTGTCTATGACAATAAACAATGGAACCAGTATATACTCTCGAGTAAAATCGATTTTGGTTCAAGCGGTTGTGTCTGAGCAATTGTGGTTTAAAATAGCCATAAAGGAATCAGAGCTCTATAGAATGTCATCATCCCATCGCCTTATAATTGCTTGTAACGTGAGAATAACCGATTAACCGACTTGCGAAAGGCCTTCCAGGAGGATCCACACTTTGGCACCAACGCCTTGTGTTTTGCTTTTCGTTAGTCGTGGCTAAGATAAACTAATTTCTTCAAATGATTGAAGGAAGCTTACGAATCAGTTTTGTTAAGATATCTTCACTTTCGCCGATTGAAAGTATGTGACAGATTATTTGCTCGTACGACTCTACCAGAAGGCCCGCACGAAGTTTTCTAGTGTGTGCTGATTGTAACACTACGCTGGTGAATTAAAGATTGTCCTGGAAGGTAAATTTTAGATGACCGGTGGAAATTCTCGATTTCAAACCGCTAATTTCATTTCATAATGGAATTTATTAAGGCTGCACGATATCTGAATATGACACTTCCTGACTAAGAACATCATGAAAAGTGGCCGTAACGTTGCATTTCCGGGATCGTTCTTATAGAACTGTTGGATCTTTTTGTGACACATGAACTCTGTATGTTTGTACTATCACTGAAAGTTTGGACAGACACATTGCAATGGTTGAATTGGGGTTAGCGAATCGATGGTCTGGTATTTTTCGAAGCATTTATGGTCTGATATCAGCATTTCCATGAATTAATATCTGGTTCTGTGTGACGCTGAGGCAGAACATATTGTTGTATATCAGAACCGAAGAGCAGCATGTAGTCAATCCAATTGAAAATCCGGATACACAGCAAGTAAAGAGGCAATAGTAATTCAAACGTTGTCTTGGCAGTTTTATGCTAACGAGCGTCAAAACCGTAAGTTAAAAATATGAATACTGCGGTGAACTATGGTCTACCAATTTACTAAGAACAAACCGTTGTTTGTGCAGTGTTTGACAAGATATAGTTCCTCTTAACTTACCGCCACGAGACAGATGCCACAAACGAGCATACCCAATCCTGCACTCAGGCCGCAACCAATTCTGTGAGCCAATGGACCAAAAATATTTGTTCCAATGAGATAAGAGATGCTGCAAGGTAAAAACGCCATGCCCTGTTGCCAACCCTCAGCACGCATCTTGGTCCACATCCACAAGGGCATAGAAGGTTCCAGCATGGCGATACCCATATTCCCGAAAGTAATAGATCCTGTGTGAGATGAGATAGATTTAACAATGTTCAAGGTGACGAATTTGGAAATCCTCAAATAGTGTGTCTGATACAGTTATGCCTGACCATTGAGATGCTCCATTCATTTACATACACTACTGCAATTTAAATAATTTTAAGCAAGTAAAACTATTTTCAGTGTCAAGCTGCGATTAATCCATTCAACTGCATAGAGGCACCAGGCACTCTTGCCTCCGTATACCTGAGTATGTTTGCAGTGGGTACCTAGGGTTCCGAAATGGCCAATCGTGCTGAACTCCTCTAGAAATACTTTCAATCGATCAAGCGCCTCAAATAGATTCTACTTAGGAAGTTAGATCCGCTGCCCTCTCCTGGCGGAGTTAACACCACTAAATTGGGAATGCAAAGGTGAATGCCCTTTGGAGTAAACCATCGTGAAGCTCACCGGCAAATGCACCTGCTTAAAAAGGATCGTTGGCCACATCCGAAAGGCGTATGATCTAGTCTCCGAGTCAACAGCTCCCAGACGTTCGTGGAGTCCTTACTTTCCCCACAGCTTTGTGGGTCAAGTTCTTTAACCAAAGGCTCCCAATACGATCTCCCATGAAAACCTTCGACTCCGGTGTGGGCAACCGGGTATTACCATGCCCACAATCAAACTATGGACTCATGCATTTGCACATATCTGCATGCAACACTTCTAACTACCCCCACACAAACCCCACTAATTTTTTACACTGCATGTCTAATCTCGAATGATTCCACTGACGTAGGTTTATATTGTAGCTGGTCATCCTCCTCCTTGATATCTCGCTCAGTAATGCCTTGTCATTCGTAGCCGACCTTTCCATTCTTCCGACCTCACTCTACGTTCAAGCCGGCTTCGTTCAGAACCTCAGAACCTTATTGGACAACAAGCGGGTTGGGCTCTTATGCTGAAAAATCTAGAGATTGATGTATATTACTTCTCAGAAACACGCATTCATGATCGGAGCTCAATGATCTAACTACCGTCTCCTTCCGATCCGAAACAAGGGTTTCAACTGCATCTCTCCGCCAACTCAATCACATCAGCGTTTGGTCAAGCAGACGTTGGTATTGTCTTAAGCGCCAGGGACGAGACTGGTCTTTTACATGGAATCTCGATAGTTAGCCGACTATGCGCAATGAGGCTCACACCCAAATAAAGTCAAAATGTTGAAACTAAACGAACGGTGCTTATTCGTTATTTCTGCATACGCCCCCACACACTGTGACCCGAGTACACTAAAGAGACCTTTTATCGCATCCCACATGAGCTGCTTCTCAAAGCAAGTAAAATGGTCATCGTGATCCTGGCTAAAGACGTAAATGCACGCGTTGGTCGTCTGTCGTCCAATGAGGACCAATTTGGTGGACTTCATGGCTTTGATACTTGTCGTTCAGATATTCAAGACAGACTTCCTAGTACATTCTACGTATACGGTGTGTTCCACGTTACCACGAACTTTGGACACTCAAAGCTTCACCTAACCACTTAAATCAACCCCTCTTCGGCACAAATATGAACTGAAATGAGTCATAACGATGGATAAAAGTAATATGTGAAAAGATGTCCTGGTCTACCTGATTGCAGTCCGACAAAGGACTGGTGTGAGTCGAGTGATTTAAGTGATTTGGTGATCAAAAATATAATATGCAAACAGCTTTACGTTACCAAGCTTTCTGACCTGGTCTTACTAGCCAATGACCAAAACAAATTGACCGCAAGGCCAATTGCTGCCCCACCAAGAGACGTATATCGTTGAATACGCAAAACACGCAGTCAGTTTAAAAGTTGTGGCCTAACCCTCCGAGATGTAAACCACTGAATCTCTCTCAATTCCCTCAAACTTCTTTACTTGAGTATAAAAAACAGTGTCCCTATTGGAAGCTTGAACTCACAAAGAGATTGAGAGATGACCGAGAACCCGGGGTAGGTGCTACGTGCAAAGGAGATGGAATCAGCAGCCAGGTATGGAAACACTCGGCAACTACTCTGACTCATCCGTGCCACGGGACCCGAAAAACAGTGCGTTAGTCAAACCATCTGCAAAGTAGACAGCACACTAATATACAGTCCTCCTCTACGCTTGGAATGCTGGGAAGAGCACTTCACATTACAGTTCAATCGGAACCCAGCAAAAGCTGTCCCTAGCAGTTCTCTAGAGAGTGCATTCTGATCACTATCCACGGGACCACCCACAGAAGCGGAGATGCGAAAAAAACTCCAAGCCCTGAAACGGTACCAGACAGCTGGATCAGACGGTCAGTATCCTACGTTCTTTGAAGACTGTGGAGAAGCTCTCGTGAGAGAGCTTATGAGATTTTCATAGAAGACCTGAGAGACCGAAAGTGTACCAGAGAATCGATTGTTACACCCATCTACAAGGTATATCGCAACGCCTGTTCCAACCACAGGTGCATAAGTCTGATTTCGGTGGCGCCGAATCTGCTAGCATCCATTTTATTACGTAGATCAAGCCCATATCGTTAAATGCAAATCCGCGAGGAGCGGGTCATGTGTCGTCACCTCCTTGGTTGAATAGATCAAATCCTCACCATCCTTGAGCTACTAGAACACCGCGATACATACAGACGGCAAACTATTGTCGTGTTTTTAGATACCAAAGCGGTCTTCGACTCTATTGGTGGCCCACATTGTAGCACTGTCTGCGGATATATAAGTACTCAAGGAGTATGTTTTACTCCTAAAAGCGCTCTATCGCCAGACCTCGAGAAGGTTTCGGTCTATGATGAACTTCCACACGCATTTTCTGTCACCAGTATGGTGCGACAGGGTTGCCCTTTCTCTCAGTTTCTCTTCAACTTTGCCATAGATGATGTTCTACAGAACGCGTTACATAATTTAACGCAACCCGGCGTAAAGTTTCGTTCTGGAGTCAGCATAGTAGACTTAAGGTATGCTGATGATATTGCCTTACTCGTTGACTCGCCATCAACGATTCAGGAGTCGTTGAATCGTTTGGAAATTGAGGTTACTCGTTATGGTCTGTCCTTTGCACCCTCAAAGAGCAAAGTATTTTTGCAGTAAGGTATTGTGACAAGAAAACTGTTCCTGTACTTTCGTTGGGTAACCACTTTCTGAATGTAGTAGAAGTATTTGTATACCTCGAGAGTTGCACAGCGGCAGTCAGAGGTTTTGCAGAGGAGATCTCTCAACGCGTGACAAAAGCTAGATTAGCGTTTGCTAATCTGCGGCATCTCTGGCTCCGGCGCAGAATATCACTTCCACTGAAATGGCGTGTGTCTTGCGCAATGGTGCGCGCTGTTTTGCTCTATGGCTGCCAAACATGGCCTCTCCATGCAGATCGTATCCAACGAATATCCGAAATCGACAACCCTTGTAGGCGCAACATCGCCCGCGTACGGTGGGAGCATCGCGTGCATAACGACGAAGTCTTCGGTGACTGGAGCACGTCCTACGAATGCATGATCAACGTCTCCCACACCAAAAGCTATTCGTAAACGCAGTCCAGGCTCGAAGAAACAATAAGGTGGGCAGGCTATGATGTGGCGCAGAGGTTTAAAGAGATTGTGCTCAGATCTGGCTTTCGTTGGGAATTCCCGCCTCCCGACTAGGGCCCCAAAGATTCAGAGAGACTAGAGACAGTGCGGGATATGTCATCGAACCGAAGTCCGTGGTGTGAATGCATCCTTTTCTGTGTGAGACCTTTCTGAGGGATCCACCTACGTAGTGCTAATGGCATGAGCAATCGTCTAGAAGTGACACATCTGGTACAATTAAAGGTTTTCAACAAAAGACCGTAAAAAGTAATCGAAACTTCCTTTCTGGCAAAATGGATGAATAATTCCTAAAAGGTAGCTACAAACGGATTCTATTCTGGAATATGCTAAAAACACGCAGCACGAAGTGTTCGATAACCTTGATGACACTGGTTTCCAAACCATGGTCTGACATATTCTCTCAACATCAGATTACAGCTGGGTAGAAATCTACCGAGGAGAATTCAAATGAACAGTGTCAAAGCTAGCAGTAGGGAGAAAATAAAAAATACCTTACTCTAACTACCAATTAGGTAGACATTTAATTTTCCATCGTCTTCTCCAAATGGATAAACTCTTGTTTTACTCTAAAATATACCGTATCGGTTCAAAATTAACAAATACATGATTACGTCAAGGTGTCGAATAAACAACTTGAATATATACTTTGAAAACGATTCCATCATGTGATGCGCAGGTGCTTGATTCTTTTATTGAACTTGACGTAAAACCATTCTGTACAACCTGTCTACCAGTTCACCCAATGTCTATGATATTCATTTTAAATGACAGAATACTGATCAAAATGTAGTTGAACTTGGAAATTTATTTCTTTGGTAATCGTTTTTCCAAATGTAGCGAAATGCTGTCTTATCCAAATCATAGTGTTCCGGATCTGTCAGTTCAAATTTATGTGAATTCTGTTTTCCGAAATTATCAGTTTTAAAATTCCTTTAGATCAGTGTTAAAATCGTGTAAATAGCATTATATGGTTACTTACCTGCAGCAATTAGTATGTACGGGTCTCTCAGTAGTTTAACCAACGAGCTTCCTCTTTCTTCCTCTGGACGAACTGCTGGTTTCAATGCAATTAGCTGCAACACTTGAAAGTCACAGAACAATCTTATGGATAAGTAATTAACTTGTACAATGAATGTTTGAAGGAAATAACTCAATAAAGCTTACAATACAGCTACCATTCGGATCATTTTGTAAAATTTATGGTGCTTTCTACCCACAACGTCAATTGACAGCACAATGATTTCCATTGTTGTTCGTGATTAGCAGTTTCCAAACACCTCTCAAACTCTCGCATTGTGACCGTTAGAACACTAGTTTAGCGGAAGAAAACTATCTGCATATGGAGTTCCAATGCATGTGTTTACGTTGCAAAATGAGGTACGCCCCTAACAATGCCAATGGATGTAATACGGTTGAAAATCAGTAAACAATGTATGGGAGAACTGCATGCAAAATGATCAGAGTTTAATTATTGGATCTAAAAAAATAGAAACACTAGTTTTACGCTTGCATTTATCTCAAATGTGAACCAAAACATATGCGTTTTAACAGAAATATGAGCAACGCCAACATCCCGTTTTACATTGATGGGACTTGCATGATAATCAGAAATTCAAAATACTTGAATCGCTTCCTGGAAGGTCAGAGATCCGCAAATGTTTTACAGTTTTCAAGATTCAAGTGTAACACTGTCATTGTCACTAGTAACAACGTGAACTTCGATTTTCTAGCTATTATTGAACGGTTTTCATATCGCATGCGTAGGGAATGAGCCATTAAAATTGTTTTCAATTTATGGACTAACAAAGAAGGCACACGCTAAACATGCACAAACCTTAGAAGAGCACACATTTGTATTACCCATTTGTAGACGAAAAGCTACGGTGAGCGTGATTAACCATTTAGCATTGAAATAAATTTTGTCTGTCATTTAGACGGTTCTTGATCTAGTTGCAGAACAACTCTGTAGCACAGAACACGAAAGTGTATTTCAACCGGTTTTCACGTTGAACATACAGCACTCAAATTACTTTCACAGGCTTAACAAACATTCCATCTTAAATGAAGAATAGTACAAAGCATGACTGCATTTCGTCACTTGGAATGTATTTATTTAGCAACAAATATCATTGTGAGAATTCATCAAATAATTGCAACCAATATTCTTCGTAAAACGGATAACAAAATAAAATCGTTAGAAAAAGAACCTGGTTTAATAACGAGTTGCGATGAAGAAACCTACTTAATTCAATCTTGAAAAATCAAAAAATAGCCCGTTCTAAAAATAATCACTTACATCCATCAAACAAAGCCAGTGAAGCAAGAATCAAAAACGGCGCCTGTTTGTTGATAAACTGGTAGCAGATGCCTCCAAACGGCGGTCCAACTAGAACAAACAAGCAACCAAACAGTAATTGTAACAAACAATGTCATGTGTTTCTTAAAAATAATCCATTCTAATATAGAAGAAAACATGGCTTTGCAAAAAAATTAACACGAAACCTCACTGAGTATTCAATGTTGTCACCAAGTGATACACCATCAAGTGGTAAATACAATTGAATAATCTATTTTAAATTTTCGAGAACATTAGTGATTTTAGTTGAAACCAAACTGATTGCAGGGCTAGTATTATGACTAAATGCCTCCAAAAGTGCACTATTTAGTTGTGCTCAAATTTCATGATTTTTTTATTACACACCTAGGTGCGATGAACAGCAGACTAAGCGGACATCATAGTCATGAGAACCTGCTGTTCAGTGATTGAAAGCGTGTCAGCCTAAGTCCCGGGACTTGGAGTGATGAACCAAATAAGGCCCCGATAGGTTGGGCGTGGTATTGAGCCGGACGACAGCAGAGCTGCCTAACACCAAAATCGGATGGCGGTGGCGGGGCTCGAACCTCGGACCAAAGGGTTCAAAACACGCCGGCGACGGCGACCAAACCACTGCGCCATCACAGCTTACTGGACGGAATTGATGAAGTGAATTTCCCTAAATTGTGATCAAATAACCAACAGCTAGACCAAAACACTATCAAAATTATTGACATGCATTTGTGTGTATACAAAGTTCGAGGCACGTAATATACAAAGCGATATTCTCTGGTTTTCAGTAGAGAAGTAAGATTACGAAAACAGTTCTTGAAACATTTTTCACAAGTGGATTTATAAATGTCAAATAATAACCATACCACACGGAGACACATCACATGCCACGGTATTCCAAAACAAGGAACATTTATATGTCGCATCACTACGTTGCTAACACTCACTATACACATATACGTACCAAGCACACCCATTGCCAGTCCACTGAGCGCCCAGCTGAACGCCCGGCTTCGTTCTTTGTCATCCGTGTAAACAGTAGCTAACATTCCCATACCTGAAAAGCAATTGTGCAATGGATATTTATCCCCTGAACCAGTAACTAAATCATTGGAATTGTACTACGTTGTGACTGTTTGCTTCAACAGAAATCCTTTGCTGGTTTTGCAAGAGAAAAAATGCTATTGAAAGTTTAGAGGTTGTTCCACATGTAGAAATCAAATGCCTCACTGACTGCAGAGTGATAAGGTAATATGTTCCAGAGCCGCGTGAAAGATCTTGATAATTTGCAATATAGTAAAATGGCTTATGAAATATACTGGATCTTCCGTTATCGAAAAAGTGGCACAGAGCACATTTTAAATAAACGAAAAGAATAGTGAACAATCTCATTTTTGGAGATTCTTACTCATGCAAATATATATCCTTATTTGGGAATAAAATTGTCTTGGTAAAACGAAATAAAATCACAGATTACTAGAATCGATTTCATCATGAGACGGAAATCGGGATCACCACAATCAAGTATTTGTTGGTCCCCTCGTCCGATCATCAAGATCACTCGCCATACAGTCTGTGTGTGGGGTAGGTCAGAGAAGCATAAGTGCTTGCACAAATCGTTTTTGGGCACGGAGAAGGGGGCTGTGCAAAGGAATTCCCGTTGCTTCTACTGTAGCCAGGATCCGATAGCGAACCTGCCTCGATAATCGCCCACAAACTTCATACAACCGTCGGAATGCCTCGAAAACGTCCATGGTGCGATTTTTTTCACCTAGGTGTGAAACCACTGCACTAGTGAGAGACTTAGTTGTTTCCGTGTTCAGTCATGCAGAGTGGTGTTCATGAATCCGTTCGGACACCCGCCTGACCTTGCGGCCTATTTGCGTTGTTCCGTAATTTCGAGTTCCATAAGAACGAGACCGTAGAGTCGGAAATGTTTCCTTCAGTAACAAACACAATCAGCTTGAACGTTAACAATACACGAAGCTTGGATGCATAGAAAGTCTTATCGACAGCGTCGGATAACTCTCTTTGTATGATCTCAAATGATATGTCTCCATTGAGCGGCAAGGAAATGTACACCGATTTTTCCTAACCTCGGTGTTTTGTTAAGAGCTTTCAATGAACTTAATCTTCTCGTTGACTAAACGCTCCGGTTACCCGTGACGTGCAAAGATCGATTTTATAGGACGGAGCTCTTCTTCTGGCATGTCCTCATCGCAGATCTTTCCGCTAAGCAAAAAAGCAGGTTCCTTTTCACCTAAAGTGGCACAAATCTTCGAAACTTGATTTGTTGATCTTGCCAAGTTGTCTTTCTATGCTCGAAACCCTGCACGGAACTATCTAATCGACGGGTGATGCAGACATTTAGAAACGGTTATTTGCTGTTGCACTCCATTTCTAAAGTAAATATGATGTTGAGAACCTGTTTATTAGTTCTGTTGTTTTCGATACTGCATTGATCACAGAATAAACGTTATTCACTTAGTGCGCTTATGGTGCACAGTCTTCAACGGATGACTGCAACTGAGTATTCTCAAGTTTCGCCATGATTAGGTCCGCGAAAAGTATTCCCAACGGATACCCGATAGCCAGACCGTCTTTTTGTCGATAGATCTCATCAGTAAACTGGAGCTGAACATTGTACGTGCAGAACTAAGTCAGTTGATTTAGGTCATTCAGAAGGAGAGCCAGCTCTACATTATTCTTTCGCGTATTACTTCACAGATATTCAATCATTTTGCTGATGGGAAAATTTGAGAACAACGAGTTGACGTCCATCGAGTAGTGATATGTAGATGCATATATGTATACATATATATACGTATTAGCATGAATAGCAATCTCTGAACACCAGCATGTTCCCTATTCTGTTTTTAGCTTTTAATCTCCGATCAATTTTACAGGTAATCATATGAAATGTGATAGTATTCCATTGTTGTAAGTTTGTCCTAATGAATGAGAAGATGGATTGTCAAGAAGACACCATCCATGCTCTTACCGTACATTCATATACTTTGAAACCGAAAGGCATTAAATATTCATATTCGAAAAATGTAATAAAGGTATGTGATTTGTCCTGATAAAGTGAATTCAAATAGCTAAATCGTGGAACACTATAATTGGGAGCATCGCACATTTCCAAAGCAAATCATAGTGTTACGTCTGAGCCAAATTAGTCTTTCTGTTGTCGTTTGCAATTCCAGATCACCTTGAACACCTCGTTCAGTGCGAAATCTTCGGGAACAAAAATTTTATCTCTCCCGCAGATAAAGAGCGTCCGCCATCTACTCACCTGAAACACTTGAACAGGCGGAACCGGTGCCCTGAAGAGCGCGTGCGAAGAACAGTACACCAAAATTGGTCCCAAACGCAAACACTAAAAATGTGCACAGAAAACAAGGTCAGGGGTAACTTTTAATTTTTTCGAAGTGAAGGTCAACGTCAAAGTAAAGTGCTTTGTGAGAACTTCCCAGAACGTATTCTTCTAAAACTTTTTGTGTATGTGGCAGATTGTTTTTCCAACTGTGTTTACTTTAAGTGCTCATTTATTCGATAAATCCCTCCGTTTCAGGAATTTGAGGATCGCATGGCAGTTAGTCGAAGTAAGTGCTACGGAAATTATGATCTTGATAAGTAGAAATGTTGTACCAACTGTAACATTGATAAAAAGAATAAGCATTGTTATGGATTTCATCATGAAAGGTGGTCAAAAATGTAAACCTGTATAATTCTCTTTCTAGGCAACCCTTCAAACTCGCTCCTCAATTATTCCCAAGAGCACTGTCACTGTCAAATCAAATTTGATCACAAACACTTGTGCCCGAAACATCCTGATCATGACTTTGATATTTTAAAGATGCAAGCTGAAATAATTTTTATTTTCATGTTCAGTGATCAAAAGGGAGTTGCGAGTAGCGGAATCATTCAGACATTCATTAAATGTATGAGAAAAACAGAATGAGGGGTTCATTTATGTTGTGAGAAATAAGACATTTTGCACGCTCAGAAACGCCCGGTTCGTTGACTTGCAACGAATCTGATTACACGAATTCAATTACTCACCAACGGTGGAAACGAACATAATCATGAAGCCAGTAAACATGGGGATGCTGTAGCCAATGCTGTAAAGGGGAGAACACGTACGGCAAAATGAAGTTTTATCGAATCCACTGAGCACTGTACATGGTAGTGCACAGACGTATTTAGCAGTTAGATGAAAACTGTCTGTGCATCTTTTTTATGGGTACTGAATGACATGCACTGGTTCAATTTTGTGAAAGTAGAGAAAATTGTCACAGTTTACTGTAATACACGTTTATAATTCATTCTGCATCAGTCAAGTGACTAATTTGTTGCAATAATACATATAATTCGCCCAAATCACTATAAATAAGAATTTCCGTAGCCCATATTTGTTTTGGTAGATCACGTGATGATAATTAAATCTGTTTTTCTCAAGTTTCCATTGGTACATCTCTTTCAAATGATGCCTACAACTCAGTACCTTTTTTTGTTAAACCAGCATCCTTCAGGTGTTCTGTTTATTTTTATACCTTGACATAATCGACAGTCTTGTCGCAAAAACTTGGGCAAACAAATCCAGTATTCGGAAATCCAATCATTTACTAACCAGCACAAAAGTCTAAAACATGATGGAGATATACCAAATCATCATTATACGAATAGCAATCTTGAGCAGAGAATTGTTTCTAATACCCATCTGTGATAAGTGTGAATTCATCAAATACCCGGTGGAAGTGAGGATTGCATTGCAGCAACTTCTTCACTATTTTTGTCCACTCATTTTTCCATAACTGACAAGATCATGCTTCACATTTAACTCCAGCCCAAATCAGAAACGCGAAAATATTATTAAGACTCATAACAAGTCAGTTCTTCGAATCGTTGATAATTTGACACTTGGAATTTATAGTTTATCATTTCATGATACAGTACTCCACATACTTGAAAAAATGAGGCCTGATGTTTGAGTATTGCATAGGGGTTGCATTGCAAAAAGCTTACTGAAGTAAATAACATCAAAATTACCTTACGTGCAAGATTACATTTGAACCGAAATTGTAAATAATACATCAAAAACTGAAACGTACGATATTTTTGCTTAGTTAAAAATTTCTTAAACATATATAATAAGATCCATGTGTAAATTATAAGATTAATTACTATACAGAATCACAATAATAATTCGCAAAGCTTTGTGACAACAACGAAGTTACGGCTCACTTAGCTAACATATAATTGATTTAACATTTCATTCCATGGTAGTCCCGAAGTAAACGAAATCAGGTTCTAACGCTGAATATTGCAATCATATTTACCGATTCGTTAACGGACCAACAAGCGGGTTGATCAAAAGCTGTACCACCGACTTTGAGGCGAACATTAGTCCAATCTGAATATGTTCATCTCCGACTGTGGACTGGCGCAGCTCTCGCATGCGTTGTGTTGCGTTCTCTCGACACGCGCGCAGTCGATTCAAATATTGCGCGGATACTTGAGAAGCATTCTGAGATCCGGTTGACAACAGGTATTTAGAAAATGCTTCCACCGCATCCGTTTCATTCGGTAGTCCTCTCGATTGGCCTTCGAAAACTCTGTGTATGAGTAAGCTCAAGTGTTCATGAGGACTGTGACCACGTGAGGCCCAAATACGTGGGCTGGATTGAAGCATATCGGACGGATTGCGCAATACCAGAAACTCCGCGCAGGATTCATTCAAGCTATTTGTGATCTCTTGAAGAATGTGACTGCTGTTCTTCGTTCGTTGTTCCATTAAGAAATGAGGAATAATTGGAACTGGTGGGTTGAACACAACAAGAGCCCCGATTTGCATTAGATCTCAATTACAATGAATTCTCATCATAGAAATATTAAAGACATGTCTTACTGAAAGTGTTAAACACATCTTGAAAGAATTATGAATAATAATTTTCCCCATCCCTACCATTTGCCTGTGGTTATCCCTGCTTACGCAACCATCGTAAGACAAGCATCTTCCTTGGGATTGCTAATTTATCCCTTTACCAATCAAATCTTGACGGAGGGCATTTGCGTTTTGCTGAAAAATTGCAAATGTTTCATCGGAAACAGTGTGTCACGAGTGAACTAGTTACAAGCCGACAAGTTGATAAAACATAGTTATACCGTTGGGTTTCATGTTGCACGTTATTGGGGGCTGCGAATATGTTGTCTTCCAATATTCGCAAAAAAACCTGAATATGCCCCTCCACCCCAAATTAATCAATTTTGTTTGTTCGGAACAAACAGACAAACAGTTGTATCGTATTTTGTGAGATTCATGTTGCTCAAGGTCACTCAGTTCGTGTTCGATGCCTAAATATATTAAACGCAACGCAAAGTTTGAGGAAACAATGTGACCACATTCTCCGGATAGAACGTTTCTAAATGTTCTGAAACATGCCACAAATTGAGCTCCAGTAAAACCCAACTGGAAAACTGTTTAAATGCAACCTTCAAATTCCAATGACTTAGTAAACCCCCGGTATTCAACTTACCGTAAATACTTATGATCGATACTGATTTAACACACCTGACGCTTGGTTCCTCCAAAGACATGTAGTGCTCATTTATTATATGACTAGATATCTATCTTAAAATGAACAAAATTACATAAAATACTTCCTTCCAATCTACCGTGTTTCTTCGTAATTAAATGTCTCAATTATTAAACTGTGTAAATTATTTGCGATTTAACAAAATCACTGCAAGCTTTATTTTCATTATCTTTCGTATCCAACATCTGTGTGCTTCATTCCCTCTGAGGATAGTGAAACGATGCAGGTAACACGGCCCTATTCGCTTAGCTTGGCTGGCAGAACGTGCACTGTCTAATCGCAGAGACAGTTTGTGCGTTTTCTGATCTTCACGAGGTTACTGGAATTTCACACTCTAGAAATTAAACGTTTACTTTCCTATTAATTGACCGGAAAACGACAATTTCGCTGAGATTTATCAGGTTTTGTCAACTATGAAGTCAAAACTCCAGTTCACAAAAGTCTCAACGCTTTGGAGCTTGAAATAGCGGTATAATGTGATGTACACTCTTTTGTGTTGCACGTCAGTTTGCAAATTACTTCATACCTTCATATGTGCAGCAATAAGACCGCAATAACCATTTCATTTCTATTGCCGCAAAGATAGGCATTCCAAGCGAGCATTCTACTGCATTTTTAGGAGTTTCATGTTTGCTATATAATCACCAAAATTAAAGTCATCTAGTTTTCATAATCTACATTGATTTTTTCAATAGTTATACATTCCTCTCCAAAAACGTTTATAAGTATTAAAATAAATAAAATGCTTAAAATGCCTAATATTAGTAGTGACAGGGACAAAACGGTATGTACTATTGATGAGTCGCAGACAAGTCAAATTAGCGGTCCATTGCCTTTTGTTGCTTGCCACAAACACTTCCCTCGTATTTGAATGCATTATTAGTAATGTTTAAATTTTAAGTATTTATGAATTTTAGAGTATAACATGCAAACTTCACTTTGAACGGTGCATCAACTACGTCTCCAACAATATATTGAATTCATCTCGGGGATTAAATTCAATGAAAGCGTTATTCAATGTGCCTGCAAATTGCTGTTTATTTTGATTAATGACTTTATTTATTTACAAATTTACAACAGTGCATTGCGCAAGTCTAAATATGCATAAATTGCAATTCAGCTTTCCTCAGTAAAGATCCTCCAGCTGAAACTTCTAATACGAAGCAAATCTTCCGTAGGTCCCTAATATTCAAAATCATTTTGACGGAGCGTGCTAGGCTTTTCACGATTATGTTGGTCTACTACACCCAATCAATTTACTTTAACCAGAGGCTTAAGGAGAAAAAGTGAGTCCGATGGGAAACTAATTTTTCGGCTTTCATAGGACTGCACTTCATTTGGCAATTCCTTTTTTTCACCTATTTGAAGGCATCAACCCCGAAGTACCACGAAATTAATGACAAGTTGATTGTTCTCTGAGCGCTTTCTCAAGATCAGCTTTAAACGTAGAATTCCAGTTCTACAAGCAGCCAGTTTGATCGAAGATGGGTTTCTAATCGCAGCATACATTTTAGGTTCATACAGCCCAGCTTTTATATATAGCTTTCAAATTCAACTTTGGGAAAATGTTTTATTAAAGCAAAATTCCTCTTCTCCATTACGTATATTCTTCTACAGGTTGCAGGCAAGAAAATTCGTATTAATGCTTCACTTTAAAATACGAAGTGCTAGGGTAAAGCATCACAATGTTGATACAACTTTCTTCTGGCAATGATCGTGTATGTAACGTCTTCAGTACTAGATTGTGATAAGCTTCGGAATATGATTGTATCATTATTTAGCTTACCCACAATAGTCAACAACATATTATCCAGAAAGAGTGCGATAAACACAATTGCCAAAATCATTCGTCGATCACCGAAACATCCTCGCAGGGCATTTCCGGTTCCGGTGAGTTTCCGCATTGCGGCATTTTTGGTTTTTGAATCTGTGGAATCCTGATCGACATTTGCATATTCCATCCTGGATGGCATTTCTGAAACAATCACAAGTGAAATACTGACATATGTTGTGAGCTGCCAATAAAAAGGTCTCGTAGAATACGGTGATGCGTTAGCCAAGCCTCAACTGAACGATGTTTACTAGTAAACTTGAGCATATCAGCGGAAAACATGTCGCCAATAGGGGTCGAGAATGCTTGAATAGATAAATAAAAAATAACACTTTGTTTTGATTAATTAATTAATTACTCAAGTTTCAATGATTAAAATGATAGTTGCATGTGTCCTAAACTCCTGGGTAACATCATCAGTTGAAGCACTGGATAGATTAACTATACTAATTTAAATTAGGTATGTCTTATTATTAATTTTATATATCTTGCTACCATCCGTTTGGTCTCTTGTCAATCTAAACTATAAACTCTAATGATAAGCTTTCGTCATATTGACGCCGTTTCCAACTCCAACGGGGATCGTCTTTTCGAATTGCGGAACGTAATTAAAATCATATTGCGTTTATGAGACGAAACCACTGATTGATACCAGTCTATAGTTAAAAAGAATGCAATGAACTACAAAAGATATGGCGCATTTCGACATCACGCTGATAACTTCCAGACTTGTTAGATTAACTTTTCAATGGTCAAATGGTTACATTGCTCACCAAACGTCCTCCTAGACTCTGATGATACTTGACGTTTTTATCGAATTACAACCATTCATTTCAAAATCACACGCATTGGGTTGATTTGATGAGAGTGTCGAAAAATGTTGCACAGCTGTTGCCGAAGTTTGAGAACGAAACTGGTGTTTATCATATTTTACACCAAATATAACAATTTCAACCAACTTGATTCACTTCTCAGCCCTTAGGTTTTTTACGCCTTTCGGTTCTGTCTGTTCCATTTACCTCCAGAATGACAACCAAACTTGAAAATCTTACCAGTGACCAGGCTACTTCAAAAACGCCACCGCCAATTGAAATTTTACGGGAGCTTTTCAATTTCTCTAGCGATCTTTGTAAGTGAGCACAGTCTTATTCAATGATTATTTATATATACCTTTATGAAGAGATACACAACTTTCAATTCATCATAGATCTTTTCATTTTGTGAAAGCGTAAGAGTAGCACACATCATTTATAGTATTCGTTCCTAACGAAGTGTACCTTCTTTATTTTCAATAACTACATCGCGGCTTACTCCAGATTAGGCTAGGTCACAAAACTAATATTTTAGCTCACATCAGAATTACAAACACTAGAGTAATTACTTTGGTAAAACGTTAAACTTACAACAATAAAAATAAGCAGTTTTCGATTCCGAACGCCGAAGAGGAGTTTGCAAATTTCTTCCACAACCCAATTTTGCGTGAAATTCACTAATCTGTTTCACAGGACCGCGTGCGTTTCGAGCTGTGTTGTGTGTGCTTCGAAACGGTTCGCACATGTTAGTCGTGACAGAAACGCGTGTAGGCATGTGTCCATGTGCGTGCATATGCTGTCCCTACAATCACCGTTGAGCATCCCGGTCACGTGAGTCAGTCTAAGGTAATAAGAATAATCTGATTGGTTCCGTGAAAGCGTTAGTGGGCACAGAGGGGCCAGTAATAAATGCTGATTCATTTCAGGTTTATACGAAAAGGTCATTAAATCGCGTAAAGACTTTTATAGTTTTGACAATTGTGAAAGTAGGCATGTTCTTGGTTAATTGTATTCTCAAGCTTGCAACGTCAAAACTGAATAGAACGAAATTGCAAATGATCTAGCAACATACATAAGGGTTTGTGGACAACAATTCTTTAGATGATTTGATGAAGGGACTCCGGGTTTGTGTGAATTGGATCAACACAGCCGGTTTTCGGTGTTTTCGGCGAGACGCTGATTAAGGTTTCCCTATAGGTAGGAAACCTGGAAACTGACTGTATTGATCCGACTTTATGGTTGCTTTATAAAAGGAAAGCTGCATGGATCTACCACTGTAGCATTTGAGGCAAATAAAAAATGCATCAGCTTTCCAGTATGCTCTTCAAGAGTTAACTTGATATTTTGATGCGCATTGTTGAATGCTAAGAGACGTTTAACGGGATTAATACGCTAGTGAACCAATAGGTGATCAACATTTCTGGTGCATAGTTTGCAGTGACATCGTGCCGGACACAAAAAATGATTGCTTTTCTTCAGCATCCCTGTGAACCCATTCGCTAACAACTGGCAAACTGTAGGGTTTCTCGCCATCGTACCTATTTGATATATAAATATATTTATATACAGGTATTGCTCCGATGGCGTTCCCTTCGCTATATATAAAGATGGTGGAATAAAGCTTGTTAGACAACTACGAGTTCCGTTCTCCAAAGTGTGGAACTCTGAGCAAGTCCCCTCCTGGTGGAAGGAATTGATTTTTGTCCCCATCTTCAAAAAGCGTCCGTACAATGACTACGCCAATCACAGGGGTATAAGCTTAATCCAGAAAGCGTCAAAGCTGTTGGCAGCCGTCGATCTCCGCCGATTTTACACTAGGCGTGAGGAGCAGACCAGCCAGGAGCAGGCTGGGTTTCGCGCTGGTCGTGAATACATCGATCTAATCTTTATCCTTCGGCAGCTGCCAGAGCACTGTCATGCCTACTAAAGACCAACGGTCATTGTATTCTTAGACATTCGCGCGGCCTTCGACTCTGTCGATAGGACCACACTGTGGAACTGTTTGTTGAGGAATGAAGTACCTGAGAAGTATGTGTCGATTCTCAAAGAGTTGTATCGTGATACCTCAGGTTGGGTTAGGGCCTATGGCCAGCTTTCGTCACTCTTTGCCGTCACCAGTGGAGTTCGACAAGGCTACCTTATATCCCCATTCCTTTTCAACTTTGTCACAGAGGTTGTTCTACAGAATGCTTTGTCCGGTCTAGTAAACGGTGGAGTCGAACTCCTCCCAGGGAACAGATTTCTTGATTTGGAATA